TCAAATAACATTAGAACTGGTTAAATCTAGATTTTTTTTCTCTTTTCTGTAAATTTAAAGAAAATGAAAGCAAGAAAATGGCATAGCATATTTTAGAACTACGTTTTAACCAACTGAGAAAGTAATATGGAAGTGGGGAAAATTAGGAACATTTGTAATAGTGTCAACAGTAAAAAAATTAGAAATAAAAAGTTGGTTTTTTTTTTAAAAAAAAAAAAAGAAGATGCCGTTTACATATAGTTGACATTTTAAAATCAAAATTAAAATTTTCTCTTTGGTTGTACAAGCACATCATGAGCTAAAAAATATTCTCTTAAATTCTCCTGTTTTCTTATGTTCTTTTAAGCTCCACTCATTAATGAAAATGATGACTAAACGTTGCCTCAGGACTAGGATAAATATTACTCTAAGTATTAAAAATAACATATATTTCTAAATTATGGAATGTTCCTGCTTTGTAGTGATACACCTTCAGTGTATCCAAACTCCACATAAACTGATTAGCTTTAGCATATATATCAACATATATCTATTCATAAAATATGAGTTAGTTAATATTCTATCTACTAAAATAACGTGGCAAAAATACAAGAAAGGATAGTTAGATGTGTCTCCTCTTTCTCCATCCAATGAGGATGAAAATGCTGGGAGAAAATTGTTTGCAAACAATTTACAAATAATTAGAATATTTTTTATGATTAACTTTCTCTTATATTTTCTATCTGCAGTTTCACCTACTCTTATTGGTATTTACTTTAGTTTTTCTATCTAAATTTATCTGACTTGTTCACAAAAGACAATATAATAATACTTGTACAATATCTTCAACGTGTTTTGAAGAGAACAATTTTAATTTAGAATTTACACCATTTAGCCATGAAAGTAAGTATTTTTGAGACAAATTATTAAATTGAAATATAACAATGTCAATAATCAGAGTAAAAACTAAACATTTTATATAGTTACTCAGATATTTTCAAAGTCTGTATATTTTGTGCTGGTTGGACATAGTACCTATTGATATATATTTTTTTTCCATTTTTACCTTGGTGCTTGTCATCATGCCACTAATATGTACTATGAAGTGACAATAGAGGTCTGTGTCTACCTACGGAAGTAAAGTAAAGAACTGGGGAAGACTTGGGTTATTCAAACACCACCACCCCCATTCTTCAAATAATCTCAATATTTCCTTTTAATAAATGATCATTGAAGAGTTAGATTTGTCCTTGAACATAGCCCACAGCCAAAATATTGCCATGTGATAGCTAAGATGCAATAAAAATACTTAGATTACATATTTTGTCAAGCAGAGTGTGTAAATGACTAGGGAAAGCTTTTCTCTTAAAAGCAGCGATTATGGACAAAGTGTTTTTCCACATTCTTCTCCTAAGAAACCTTGAAGGATCTGTCCAGAGTTCTGAAAAGGTTTCTGCTGGAGAAGTCTGGGGACTGTGGCATGTGCATTAAATACATGAGGAGTCCAGGAAGCAGTATTTTCAAGTCCTCAACCAAAGATCCTTTCAAACAGAAATAACATCCACAAAGGACAGAAATTCTCACAACTGATTATTAAATGTGTAATTACAAAGATATAAAGGAGAAATTAAAGAAGAAAATTGCCTGTGCATCATGAGGGAAATGAGGAATACAAAGCACACCTAACAAGAAGTAGCATGCTCAGAACTCCAATACGCAAAAGAATGTCTAGAATGTTGTATAACTAAGAGGATTCCACAGAACACCTCAGCTTATTCCCACTGGGTGAAGGGGCTGCCCACAGTACAAGGCAATGCTCACTTGGCTGTCTCACATGGCCAGCAGCCAACATTAAGGATACCCATTAGCTCTAGTTCAGTTTCTAGGGACTCAGAACAATAAAACAACATGTAGAGAATGAAGAAGAAGGTGGAAGGGAGACTCTGCCCTCCCATTGGCCTGTGTCAATTTCTTAGTGGGAAGTAAAGTGTTGGAGAATCTATCTGCCTGGCTACTCAAGCTTACAGTTCAGCTGAGGCAGAACCAAGATTGTGCCTAAATAAGCACAAATGCCTGTTAACATCTCCTCAATTTCCCTTCCCCACAGCACCTGATCTGGAGGGAAATGAGGGATGTCAGAAATTCCAGCAGCAGTTCCAAGAGCTCTCTAGGCAGACTCATGTCTCTTTGCAAGGTCCCAAGTACAGCATTAGACTCTGGTCACCGGCTAGATCGCGGGCCTGCCCCGGGTTGGGTTCTTTCCCCAAGTCGCTGTAGCCTGGGCGCCCCCCCTCGCTATGCCGCTCATGCTGCCACTCCTGGGTAACTAGCAGGCTTTGTGTCCAAAGGGAAAGAGGGAGGAAAAGCGGGAGGGCGCAGACAGGTTTAGAAAGAGGCTCCCTAGCCTGTTTGAAAAAGCTGTGCTTTCAGCACCACCCGCTGTCCCCACTCTTCCGCAGCAGGCGCCACGGTCGCGGCAGCTAACCAGCTACTGGAGAGCGTCTCTCCTTGTCCCTCACTACCTGTGCTTCTTTCAGTGCCGATCCCTTGGGTGGTTTGGGGAAGCTCAGCCTGCATTGCAAACTTGCGCACCTGGGCATAGGGAGCGGGAACTCGGATCTGAAGACATGCAGAATCCCTGACTCAACCTTTGCAGCTGTTCCCTCCCTTACCCTATTGCTCTCACCTTTTCTCCCAACAGGTTTAACTAAGGACGCCTGCAAATGGAGCAGACTTCAATCTCGAGGTTCTGGCCATCCCTGCTCCCCCTTCCCCCTCCCCAAACCAAACTGTGAGCTACCCAGTAAGCTGATAGCTGCTACATCCTTCCCACCCCAGGACTCTTGGGCACACAGACACTTAGCAAGCTTACCCCCTTGTTGGCTACGCAGCAGGTAGTGAGATGCCATCTATCTAGTCCCCCATAAAGTTGGGCCTTGTGGATCAGTGGGGCAGAGCCGGCCTCTCCAGTCTCGGGTTCCCCCCAAGATGATCTTAAGCTCATCTCCTGCGCTCAGTGAGCGCAGAACAGCAGAGCTGAGGGCGGTGTGTGCAGCAATGTCCCTGCTACTGAGAAAGGGGGGAAGGGGAAGGGGAGAGGGTGGAGGAGGGAGGGGTGGCAGTTTGTATTTATAGAGAACAGAGTTCTCAGCACAACTTTTTGGTGCCACCAAGTGGCACAGTGTGTTCCTTTAGGAACACAGACTTTGGGTTGAAACTGGATAAGGTAAACCAGCTCCACTGCCAGATGCTCATATGGTGGAGGGCTGGGGGCACACCCCTAGGACTTGAGTTTTTCCATGTGTACCTTCATATCTCAACACCTTAGATGCAGATCCCTCAGTTCTAAGACTGAGCTTGTATTGAGATGGAAGGGGCATCCGTGACCTCTTCAGACAAGAGCCAGAGGTGTCAGGCACACTGGACAGATGCCAGTTACCTTCTAGGAGTCTAAGGACCCTTGACTCAGGAAGGATATCCACTGCCTTCTCCACCCTAACCCCTCTATCCAGATTACAGTCTTCTCAGATCTCTCTCTAATACCTTCTTCCAGCCATTCTTAGTGCCCAACCCTTAAAGTGAGGTGCCATTCATTTTCCTTGAGTTAGAATCTATTCAAATTATTTCCCAAACTCTCAAATTTAAAGAACTTCACAGCTTGTTACCCAACTTTCTTCTTTAATTGCTACCTTTAGAAAAGCATGTGACTTTAGACTCTGTAGATCTGAACCTCTCCAAACAGCACTCAGAACTCCAGGTTCCCTTAGCTATCTGCTAGGTGTCTGTCCTGATCACCCATTTCTACAGACTTCCCAGCATGCATTACACCAACTGCACAGCTAAGGGCTTGCAAATACCTTTGATACTTTGAAGGCAAATGCCCAGAAGCTTCCATTATCTGGATTTTCTGGGTGCTCGTCCTTGTATGCAGATCCTCAAACCCATAAAGTCACAGTCAAACACTACTGCATGGGACCTTAATGTCCCAAAACACAGAAGAACCTCTACATTTTGCAGATGGAGAAATGGAATACACAAAGGTTAAGGAACTTGTTCAAGGTCACACATTTCCCTAGAGACCAGCCCAGGGACTACCCAGGGTGGAACTGAATGAACACAGAGATAGCAAACCTGATTTCCAGGCTCCTGCTCCTTCTTCCTCCCCACACAGCCCATTTAGTCATATTCAGCTCCCTTCTCTTTTCTCTCTCTCCCCACATTCCTCTCTCTGACCCCATCCTTTGCCAAAGTTCCATAAAGGAACCTCAAGTAAGGATGTCTTTCTAGCCCCACTTGGAGTACATGAACTTGAGCTTATAAGGCCAGAGTTGCATGTGTACCCCCTTAAAATGGCCCCCTGTTCTAGAAAACCTCTTCCTCCCTGTAGTGTAGTCATGGAAGTGTCATTTTAGAAATGGAACACTGGCATTCATGCCCAACAGGGTCCCTTTTTTTGCTGCCTCTTTTCTGGATGAAGCAACAGCAAATGCTTTCATACCCCCCAAAACACCTAATGGCCTCAAAGACAGTAAAGCCCCCTCCCTTGAAAATTGCACCCCTTTGTGCACATGCATTGGTATGAGAAAGAGAGAGAGGTGTCCAAATGCCTTCTTTGGTTTAGATCTCTATTTTCCCCCCTCCTCTGATATTTTTTAGTTCGTTTTCTATGGAAACGAGACCACTTTTATTCCTCACTCATGCATATAAAAGCAAAATGAGCTTCATAAACCTCTCATTGGAGTGACGCCGCGGTAGCTTGGGCTCCTGACTAGAAATTCATGTCTGATCCACACAGCACACGTCCTTGCAGGGTGACTTTTCTAAACTTGCAGGACCTCGTAGTGTCCCTGGCTCCACCAGTTCTCCACCTGCCCACCACCTGCCCTTCTGGGTCCCTTCGTCCAAGCTCCCGCCCCTTGCCTGAATGCTTTCCAGCCCTGTGCTGGGGGAGGGGCTCCAGCGGTATCCTACATCCGTGGTGACTCTAGAGCTGAAAGAAAGAAAAATCGCGCTGTGCTTACCAGATGCGCGCCCTGAGCCTGGCGCCCCCAGCCAGCCGCTCCTCGCGGGCTTCCTGCGCTCCTTTAGCGGCCTTGGCTGCAGCTGGAGCGCTAGTGGCGGCGATGGAGGCAGCGGTGGCAGCAGGCAGAGCGGCTCCGGCCCGCGGCGGTGGCGCTCGCTCTCCCGCGCCAGCGCTTGGAGCACGTGCCGCACTCAGGCAGACGCAGCTGGAAGCGCAGCGCAGGACTGGCTCCTACTCTGCAGCGCTTAGCGGGGCGCGGTTGAACGACCAGTGCACAGACTCAGTGGGTGACAAGTGTCTTGAAGCCTCATAGTCTCGGGGTTCAGGCGAGGGTAGCCTCGGGCTCCCTCTGCAGCTCCTCAGCTTCCCTCCAGGAGCCGCGGAAGAAGGGCTGTGTGGGGAGGCGTGGGTGGTGTGTCACTCAGAGAGAAGCTGGGGGAGCAGGTAGATAATAAGCTTCTCTCTGACGATGGCACTTAAACCCCTGACAGCGTTTGGGAGACGGGGCATCACTGCTAGAGGGTAGAGAAAATCAGGAAGTCGGGAAGTCCCGGAACCCAGATTCAAGGATGTGAGTGGTTAGAAAGAATGGTCTCTTTAATGGTCTTACTTATTAATAATGCCATTTTGCATGTCTGCACTTCTTACAAACGATTCTTTCTACATCCATTAAAATTTCTTTCTCCAAAGCCGTTAAATATCTTTTACTTCTTCAGATGACTTTGCTTCCCTTCTCCTCCCACCACTATAACTCACCAAGACTGTAAAACAAAACAAAACAAAAACCCTGCTGAGTTTATCTTTAAATTCCAAAATCACTTCATTTCTTCCTCTGGAAAAAGAGACTGATATAAATTAATTGCATGCCTTAATTTAAAGAAAGGCATTGCAGCAAGATGGTTATTATAATATCCGTTATATCTCCCTGGTTGAATTTTGGGAGCCAGGTGTTGCAGCAGTGGGATGGAAGATTAAAAGATGAAGACACCAAGTAGAGAGGGTTGGTCCCTATGCGTACATTACTAATGTAGATTTTCCAGAAAACCCCTGAAAACAAGGCAAGTTGTTCCTTGGTAGCTTCTGTACTCAACAACAACAACAACAAAAAAAAAAGAAAAGAAAAAAAAGAAAGAAAGAAAAGAAAAGTATCTACCACACCTTGTTGATCTTTACAAAGGCAGTTTCTTCTCTCCATTTTCTTGTATATTCTGATGGTGGCATTCATTTTTGGGATTCTTTGATTGCACTTTGCAAAGTAAGCTTTAATACTTTGTAGAGAGGCCAGCAAAGCTGTGGTTGATCTTGAAAAGGAAATTGAGAAATAGGATATAGATGAGAAAAATACAACAACAATAAAAATAGTAAGAGTTCTGAGAAAAATAAAGGGGGACTAATGACAGTATGATTATGGAAATGTAAAAGTCTGGTATATAAAATGATTTGTTAGCCCAATTGGATGGGCATCGGCAATGAGAACAGGGTTGTAGATTTGAGCCCTGTGTTGGCCACTTAGTTTTGAGTTATCATAGGACACAATGAGTTTCTGTCGTCACCAGTTGAAACTGGTTCAAATTACACAAGTGAGTGGGCTGAGCTTTGGTAAGAAGGGTTTCTCATGGTGGCCACGCATTCACTTAAAGTCTTCAATTTTCTAAACATATTTCCTTCCCTGCTGTCTCTCAGGATTAGGGAGAGGATGGGCTGAGATGAAACATGTCAAAGCATGTCAGAAAAGATAAAGCACTCCACAAAGGTAATAATACATCGTTTACCAATACATATCCACTTCCTATGCTCTAAAAGCTAAAATGTGAAGAACACTCCCCAAGTTGTACAACAGGGGTAGTTTCAGGTGAGAAGGAAAACAAAATTATATAATCTTAAATTGCTCAGTGACATTTAAAAATATGGCTTTACCTCATAACTGTAAAGTGCTGAGTTAGGTAAAATTAAAATTTAAAGGAGCATACAAACAACTAAGTCCTAAAAGTAACTTCTGATTGTAAATTGCTCAAAGGTATGACTTTTGCCTTAGGCTGAGCTATCAATTATCAAAATATTTAATTGTTATGTGGGATGAAAAAAAGTTATTTATACATTTTTAATAATTGATTAAGTTTAAAACTTGGAATCTTCATTGGCTCCTCTCTTTCTCTCACACATGACACTTTATCAGGAAATTTTCTTGGTTCTACCTTCAAAATATAATCAGAATCCTACTTCTTCTAACCACCTTCACAGACACCATGTTTGATCAAACCACATCATCTCTGAGCTGGTTACAGCAATAGCTTCCAACAAGTCTTTCAGCTTCTTCACTTTTGCTCTACAGGTTATATTAAACACATCAGCAAGAGTGTTCTTTTTTTTTTAATTAATTTATTTTTTATTAATTAATTTTTGTTACAGATGTTTCTCCTCCCCCCCCACTGATTCCCCCCTCCCCCTCCCTCCCTGCCCTGTCCCCAGTTTGTTGTCCATGTCCACTGTTCATGCATACATGCATATAAGTTCTGTGGTTTCTCTCTCCCCCACCACCCTCTCTTCTGGGGATTGTCAGTCTGTACCCCATTTCCACGTCTCTGGGACTACCCCATTCCTCAAACTGTTATGTTCATTATATTCCACAAATAAGTGAGATCATATGATACTTGGCTTTCTCTGTTTGGCTTGTTTCACTTAGGATGATACTTTCCAGGTCTCTCCATGTAGTAGAGAAAAGGGGACTCTAGTACACTGCTGGTGGGAATGCAGACTGGTGCAGCCACTATGGAAAACAATATGGTGTTACCTCAAAAAATTAAAAATTGAACTTCTGTTTGACCCAGTGATCCCACTTCTAGGAATATACCCTAAGAAGCCTGAAACACCAATCAGAAAGAATATATGTACCCCCATGTTCATAGCAGCACTATTTACAATAGCTAAGATCTGGAAACAGCCCAACTGTCCATCAGTAGACGAATGGATAAAAAAGCCGTGGTACATATACACAATGGAGTACTACACAGCTGTAAGAAAGCAAGAGTGTTCTTAAGTTAGCTTAGGTCAAAACCCTCCAGTAACTTTCCATCTCATGCAGAGTCAAAGCCCAAATCTTTACTATTACTCTACCTCATCTACCTCCACTCCATTACCTTTCTGACCTCATTTCCTAGTACTCTTCCCCTTTGTGCACTCTATTCCAGCCACCAGGATTTCCTTGCTATTTCTTAAACATGGTTGATATGATTCAATCTAATGGTATTTGCATTAGTTGTTTCTTCTTCATGGAATGTTCTGTTTCCAAGTAATCCTTAGGCTAACTCTTCTCCTTTGAATCTTTGCTAAAACCTTACCTCCTAATAAGGCCTTCCCAGACTACCCTACTGTAAACTATTATATCTCATGATCTCAGTGTTCCTGGTCCCCTTTACCCAACTCAGTTCCTCCCATATCTCTTAATACAATCCAATATACTGTGTAATTTACTCATTTGTTATGACTATTGCTTATTGTCTGTCTCTTCCCCACCCCGCCATTAGAATGTAAACTCCCGAAGGAAATAAATCTTTGTTTTTCTAATATATTCAAAATACTCAGAAAAAGTTTCTGGCACATAGATGCTAGTAAATTAATATGTTTGAATGTTTAAATAAATATTTATGAAAATAGAAGTATACATGTTACATGCATGCTGTTTTTCATTTTCCTAGTTGGAATCACTGACAGTAAATCATGTGAATATTTGCAGATTTGCAAGACTTCTAAATGACACTTTTTTTCCCCAATTTGGACACTCTTGCTCATCTCTTATATTCTGTTTTGTTTTTTTTTTCATTTGTACTTCTTAGAAAACTCATATTTTAGACTGCAAAAGGCTTATTGCAATATGGTATGTTTTTGTTTTTGTTTTATCCTCACTCGAGAACATTTTTCCACTTTTTTGTTCAGATAGAGTGAAAGTGGGAGGGAGGGAGAGAGAGAAACATCAATGTGAAAAGGACACATTGAGTGGTTGCCACCTGCACGACCCAACCAGGGCCAGGACAAACTGCAACCGAGGTACGTGCCCTTAGCGGGAACCGAACCCGGGTTTCTCTGGACTGCAGGCCAACGCTCTAACCGCTGAGCCAAACTGGCCAGGATGAAATATGGTATGTTTTGCAACTGAATGGTTATCTGAACCCATCAAATAACAGATTGCATGTGACTTTTTAAAATTATTTTTCTGAAGAAACTTTTCTTTCATTCATTTAATGAATACTCATCAAGAATTTTTTTGGCCAGTTAATAATGAACTGCAACACAATGATGAACAAAATAAAAAGTGGCTTGACTTGAGAAGACCTACAGTCATTAGGTATGAGTGCATATATGTCTATTGATTCAATCATGCTATTTACTAGATATTTATTAAACTACCATGTGCCAAGCATGGCTATATTGGGGATGCAATGGTGAATGAAATAAAGTCAAGCAAGTGGCACACAAACAAACTATCCCTTCTTGCAACTTTTGGGAGGTGCAATAAATAATTGAATAAGGTAAGTTACTAAGATTAACATAGCATTAGAAGGAGCCTGGATATCTTGTTTGTATGGGACAGCAAAAAGCTAAATCTCTCTGAAATAGTAATATTTGGTAAAGATCCAACAGTCAACTATGCAAAGAATGTTATGTGTGTGTTTGTGTTGTGTAGGTTGGGGGTGGGAAGGGATGATTACCAGATGGATGGAAGAAAGGAAGGGGGTTTACAGGCACAGGGAACAACAGCTGGGACTTCTGAGGCAGGAGAACACTTGCCATGTTTTAGAAACTGAAGAGACATTGGTGCCAATGAAGTAGAGCTTGGATAACCTTTTCTGTATCTCAGTTTGCTTAATTGCAAAACAGAGGTTGTTATTTTATTTAATAAATTTAATCTTCCTACTTTCTAAGTGTTAATGAGGCAATTATATATTTATATAAAAGTCATTGGAAATAGTAAATGAAAATCATGCAGAAAGAGGTAATGAACACACAAGTTATTCTGACTAATATAGTATCTGTGGTCTATCAGAAAACATTTAGTCTTACCTAATTATCATCATCTCATATAAGAAAAGAAGACCATTTTTATTTTAATTTTTAAAATTTATTTTAGAGAGAGAGGAAGGGACAGGGAGAGAGAGATAGAAGCATCGATGAGAGAGAACATGCCCCTCACTGGGGATTGGGCTCA